TCCATGAGTGTTCGTACTCAATAACTTCATGACTTCTAGTCCTTGTAACTGACTTACTGCCAGTGGAAATTGTCAGATATTATGTAGCACCGGCCTCAAGGGTGCAACCATTAGGTTCTGTGCTTTAAAATGCAAAAAGACCCGAGTTCAGGTCCCTCTTGTCAAAGATATGATATTCTACCGTGTCTCTACCTTTCTACTGGGATGTATCCTGAACAGCTTGGCTTGACCCTGAAAGCCAAATTGAAGCCATCCGTCTCCAAAACCATCTTACTTGTATTGAACCGATCATTAAATGTTGATAAGAAATTACAAAACACTTTTCAGATCTAGTAGAGAGCATTACCAGCTTGGTGGATTACACATGAACACAACAGCTGATTCATTCAAGCCACCGCACCGTGCCTTGTTTTCACCACCACTGAACAGCTAGCCCACAGAGACGTATATTGCCAATTCAGCTCCGGGCCTGTTTATGGTAGATCTCACTGGCTTGAGCCTCTCTTCTGATTGCTCCTTCTGGTCTCTTGGCTCCGCCCACCTGTTTGTCACATACAGTTTGGAGCATAGTGTCAAACATTGTCAACACGCCATCTCCATTTGCCGCAGACGTCTCTGCATATCTGAAACAGGGAATTGCGGAAAACATGCTATTATTCATACAACAAAACAAACAAGTTTCTGATAAATAAAGAGAAAAGCAGAAAATTTCTGTAAACTACAAAAACTACAAGACTTAAGGGAGTGCTTTCTTTCATCCCCACCAAACATTTTAAGTTCATTAGAATGACCAACATGAATGATGCTGAGTTTTACTTTTACTTCATAGCATCAAGAAGCAAGGTGAAAAGCTCAGCAGATAGGCTACTTGCTCAATAACAAATACAAACCAACCCAAACAAAAATAATTAACAACATCAACTTACTTGAATTTGTTTGCCTGTGCATATTTTTTTCCTTCAGTGGAAGTTACAGCACGTTTTTGCTTCAGGTCAATCTGAAAGAGGTGAAAATCTATTTCATTTGTGAAAGTTCGTCACTTTGGTCGCCTAAAACTTCTGAACCACTTAAATTTCGAATTTGAAAAAATGAATGGTGGTTCAGAATCATTTAAAGGGTGCACAACTATATTAAGGAGTCTGAAGTCACTGTAGTTTAATTTTCAGTTTTTCATTAGTTCCGTTTAGATCTAATCTTGGGAAAGTTCGTCTTCATACACGTGTGTTTAGTAAGAGTTTTACGGCGCTCGCAACTACATAAGTCATATGAGCGCGAAGTCCATCTTCTATGCTAAGGCAAACAAGTGAGGCTCCCATTCACAAGCAGTGTGCACTGGTTCCACAATGACTTGAGTGTCGATTCTTTTGAGTCCGTTCATTGGACAGGTACCCAGCTAGTATAATAAGAAAAGGCAATGATTTACATGCTCAGCTTTCAAAATGACTTCAGGTTCACTAATGACAAAATATTTGTCTTCTTACTTTTTGGTCTGAAAATCTATTTTTGTCTTCTGTCTGTCTTCCCCTTACTTACTTTTCTACACTATCTTTACTTGCTCATATTCTGAACATGTAGGTGTTTCAAGTAGATGAACAAGTATAACCTTTTTCTATTGCTCTCTCTCTCTCTTGGCCTCTCACTACTTACCTACCAACCCATCTACTTACCTTCCTACCCACCCAACCACCTCCCTATCTATATTACCAACCTACAAACCTACCTTCCTCCTTCTTTACCTACCTACCAATCTACCAGCCTACCTACCTATGTACCTACCTAGATCTCCTCACCCCCTCACCTACCTATCTATCAATCTTTTCCCTGCTAGTCTGCGGGTCTGTTGGTCTATCGATCTATCACTGCTTGTTTGTCTTTCTCATACTGAACATAGTAACCGATGTAAATACACTCAAACATGTCCAAGACAACAGCCCATTATCAAGAAGAAAAGTAGGCAGGTGGTTCTCAACAGTTTCATTACAATGTAGGAAAAACACAAAGGCAGAAGTAGGGTGTTTGTAGAGGTCTTGGACAAGTGGTTGTTGGGGCGGGTTTGAATATGATCGCTTTTAAGCGCATAAGCTATCCTGAAAAAGGATGTTTTGAGAAAATTGAAGGTAAAGTTTCTGGACCCTTGTTCAATTTCTTTAAAAGACAAGGAGAGTTTTCTCTATAACCAAACAAATATGCACACCAATGAAACCAAACTTCTCCTTTAGGTAGGGCAATGCCCACTTTTGGTGTGGGTCAAGATTTCTGGAAACCCCGAAATCTGGATTAGCCCGCTTGTCCTTGAAAGCAACCATATATTTTTGTATGAAAACATATTCCAAGGGCATTCAAAGCAACTGTGGAGTTCAAACCTTATTTCCAACGATGAAAATCTCTGGATCTCCATTTGCATAACGTTTGACCTCTCTGATCCACTGATCAAGAGATTCAAAGGAAGCCATGTTTGTGACATCGTACACCAAGAAGATAGCGTCGGTGCCAGAGTAAAGCTCATTTCGTACGTCAAAATACTCAGAGCTTCCAGACAGGTCCCACAGATGTACACGTACTGAAAAAGAAAGCACATATAAAAGCTCAAGATAGGTATCTGAGGCACTGTAGTGAAATCATCAGGCGCTCGTCAAAATAATGAAATCAAAGAAATCTGTATTTTTTGGGCGATAGGAAATTTTTTTCTATATATTCCTTTTTTGGCTCAACATCTTTTATGTCCATTTAAAAACACATTTTTGTGTGGATTTTACTGAAAAACAATGATTAAAGGCACAAAAAATGTTAATTGTCATTTCCAAAAACTCTCAGGCTATGGAAGTTACCAAACTTTGGCAGTCATTTTCTTATAAATACCATAGAAAGTATGATCAATTTTTGTACAGCATGGGCCGGGAACACAAGATAAAGAAAAATTAAATTGACTAATACGGAAAGCATGCAAAATTTCAAAAAACTACATTCCCCAACTTGGATGAATTGTGCATAACAGTTTGAACTAAAAAAATTTGTTCCATCTTTTTAGACAACAAACATCCCTCGTTCTCTCAAATAAAAACATCAGTCAGAAGTAAAAGACCTAGGCTTCTGATCTGTAACAAAGAAAGATATAGAAGGTCGTTTTTACCATCTTCTATAAAAATGCTTCCATCTTAACCATCTCTTATTAGTATACTTAGAGCATGCATCAAAATAACATTGAATGTGTATCTAGCTTAAGATTATCTTATTATTGTTTATATTGCGGCTGCTCATTTATATTATGTATGTGATTGCAAGTCTACATATGTGTGTATGTGTGTGTGTGCATGTGTGTGTGTGAGTGTGTGTGTGTGTGTGTGTGTGTGTGTATGCGTGTGTGTGTGTATGTGTGTACACATGGTGAAACACCAAACCAATGTGCCAGGATCCGGACAATAAAGATGTATCTTATCTTATCTTATTATCTTATTAATTTTACCCCTGAAACCAGGCAACCCTGATCTTCAATCGCATATACTTCGAATTCTAGTCAATATAGACGGATATTTTTGTTACCGAAAAGAAGGCAAATGAACATGCTTTAAATTTAAGATGATACCAATTACCCCATATGCTCACAAATTGACGAGCCCCTGTTTGCACCACATTGTGACATGTATGATACTGCTTACAACTGAATGGTTGAGCTTTTTTTTTGTGTCCCGTGTCTCTTTTCCAGGTGTTATGTTAAGGATTTAAGAATTAAAGGAGAGAGATTTTAAAATAAATTTGGTTTTTTTGTTTTGCCTATTATAGCTTTCCCATACAACTGAATAGTTGAGTTTGTAGATAGTAACTGCCAAAACATTGATGAAAAGAAGAATCGTGGACAGGAGAAAGCATATTAAAATACATATTAATTCTCTTTTGGTATCCAAATGAGAAATAAAATTCTTTTTAAATGTAGGCCTACATGCTTTTTATGCCCATCAACAAAATTTAGATCATTTCGGGGGCGGGTTTGACCCTGCCTGTCAGAGCAAGTAACAATATGAAACAAATTAAATACAAATGAAATTTCAGAAAGCTTATGATCGTAATTTCACAATGACACAACACAATTATTTTTCAAAATGAACAAACAACTTTACAGTAAAGAAACAACAGAAAGCTATTTAAAATGTAACGATCATCTTACATCAAAACCCAAGTCATTATACCACAAGGCAGCCACCATGATTAAAAAGCAAAGAGAACAATACCACCCCCCCCCCCCCCCCCAAAAGAATTTAAAAATCTCTCTTTTGCCCTTTTTAACTCCCAGTTGAGCACAGGCCATCAACAACATTACTTCAGCAAAGCCTGTCCTGAGCATCCTTTTCTATCTGTTTCCATGATGTTCTCCTCGGTGATGAAGGTCCTCCATCTTCCAGAACTGGCGGTCGTGTTGTTTTTGCTGTTGATGTTTTTGTAGCTGCTTTTTGTTTTACGGGAAAGGGCTGCTAACCCTTTGCCCAACCGACCTTAGTCGCCTTCTACGACATGCGTGGTACGAATACAGTGGTCCTATTCTTTGCTCCCCTGTCTCTTGGACAGGGCCCCGAAAACCACCCGGGTGAATAAATAAAATAACAATAAATAAATAAATAAATAAATAAAATAACAATAAATAAATAAATAAATAATTACAAAAATAAAAGTTTCAAAAAAAAAAAAAATAAATAAATAAATAAAATAACAATAAATAAATAAATAAATAAATAAATAAATAAATAAATACAAAAATAAAAGTTTGAAAAATAAATAAAATAAGCACTTACAATCTACTCCCTGTAGCTCTTGTACTTTGAAACCATAGTCCACTCCAACAGTTGGCTGGTACCCTGAGTTGAACTGCAAGATTATAAAAAAAAGAAACATGGTGAAACCTACAAAAGTCATAAATGTTTTTAATGGGGTCATTTCTTGTTCTTGGATCATAATAAATAAATACCAACATAAAATACTGTGGCACGAATTTGTTTTGAGTGGAGCGA